GCTTCCGAGTCACTGCCTACGAGCAGAACTCTGTCGCTGAGGTAGGATTTGCACCAGTTAGGCCGGGAAATTGCGGTTCCGCAGCGCGTCGACTATGCGCCTCCACGGTGCCGAGTTGAACGCGTTGCGGACGTCGAGGGCGATCACAAGGTCCACGAAATATGGAGTCGTTGACCAGTCAACCGGGGGCAGTTCGGGGAACAAGCCACGGGCTATTTCTAGCGCTGCGTGGCTATCCATGGTCGGGGACCGGTGGCCTAACTTCTTCATGACCAATTTGTATGGAGCACCCCACGGGTCGTTCTCAACATTGTCGCAAAGGTCACTCCAACTAGTTTCTTGAGCCCTTCGTATGGCTAGTCTTAGCTTTTTCCTCGCTTCGTTGTACTCGACAAATGCATTGGCTCGGCCTTCAGTGTCCGCCCGCCGGCCCGCACGCTGGTACCGCCTCCGAGCAGCGATCGACGCTTTACGGAGTTCGGCAATCTCACTGCTCCACCAATGGACTGCTTTCCTACCTTTGAATAATGCTCTACGTGGCATGGCTGCATTGCAAGAGTCTATCAGAAACTGATTGAGGTGCTCAGCATGGTCTTCGGCGGAGGCGGTTGTAGGTAAGGGCAGCAAAGCTCCACTGACCCTTTCCCAGTATTCCGCTAGGGCTGGGAGGGACAGCTTCTTCACGGCCCAGTCTCCGGTAACTGTCGATCGGTCAACTCGTGTAACTACTGGTTCTCTATCAGATACTGTGACGGTATATTCGATATAAAGATGGTCACTAGCCGAGTCTATATCGGTTAGGACTCGCCAGTTATTCACCAGGGGCCTCGTCGAAGGCGGGTAGCGAGCGAATGTCACGTCAATGATGGATGACGCATTCACCCGGCTGAAGGTCGGTACTGTTCCAACGTTACCTAGCATGGAAGCGAGGTTGGACAGCAGCGAACCTCGTGCGTCGACATTGGCAGAACCCCATTCCGCTGAGTGCGCGTTGAAGTCGCCAGCTATTACCAGTCGGACGTCTCTCGCTGAGTGGCATTGGACAGACCCCTCCAAGCCATTGAGAAATTCGTCGAACTCCTGTAACGAACAGTTGGGCGTGCAGTAACAACAATAGAATACGCTTTCGCTGACTTTGGCCCAAGCGAAACCAGTGCCAGCACCCTTTTCCGTGATGAGCACTGAGCTGCGTCTTGTCACCAGCACCCCGCACTTGCGGTCGACGATTTCGAACCAGCGCGGATCGTCGTCGAAACCCCGGTAGTGGTCGCTAGCGATGACTACATCAACGTTTCTCTCCAGGATGGTTTGCGCCAGGAGTTGCTGCGCCGTCCAACAGTGGTTCAGGTTCACCTGTAGGACCCTGAGCGACACCCCTTGTACGCTGGTCATTGCGTCTGGGAAGACCCTGTCGCCGGTTTGTCGGCGCGGTGATTTCCAGCAGTTGGAGATGGTGAGCTGCAAGATGCTATCAAATGACCAACCTTCTTGCATTTGAAACATGCTCGAAGTTCAGGTCCTTCACACTTGGCAGTCTCGTGCTCTGTGGAGGAGCACCTTGCGCAACCGTGCCTTGGTGTGAGCTCTTTGATACGACACACCGCCCAACCAACCTTCAGTTTTTTAAGCCGCGAGAGTCTGAGTCCTGGGGCTAAGGGCACCCTGGCAATGGCTGTTCTCACGCCGTTGTGGCCTTCCCTTATGGTGTGTTTATTGGACACTATCAGCTCTTCATCGTGAGCCAGTAATGCGCTGTTGAGCTCGTTCTCATCCACTGAATCCTCGATTCCCACAAAAAGAAGGGCTAGACTCGGTGACGGTCGCCTAATGCCGGAATCTACGCCGAACTTGCGTTTCAGCGCGTTGGTAAGGGCGTCTGCGTTTTTGCTCTCCTTAGTTTCAAGGATCAGGTTGCTGGTTTTCGTCCTCCTGGTGGATATTTCGAAAGACAACGATTCTTGATGAACAGTATCCTTCACTTCCTTCACCATATCTGCATACGATCGGCTACCTGTGGGTTTGTTGAGAACAACCGCTTGTGTTCTAGGTAGTCGTCTGTTGCTTATCGCGGTAGGTAAAACGGGAAGATTTGCCTCGGTTACGGTGCCGAGAGGTGGATCTTCCGCTACACGGGGCTTCCTTCATCTCTTCCTCCCTACCAGCTTGAAGTCTGTCTCTTCCTTCTTGGAGATACCTATTTGCGGGCTGGTCTCCCCGGTCGGCCCCGCCGTGGTTCGTGGCTGTTTCTTCGACTTACCAGGTTCCCGTATTGGTTTCTTGATTTCTGGTTTAGGGCCTAGGAACGTTGTAAACCTGCAGTTTGATTGGTGGCCTGCCGAATCCCACCAACAGGGGGAGTCAGTACTTGCATCGGAAGTATTGCGCTTTCCCACGATTACGTCCTCAGTTTGGGTTTCGGAATTAGTCGTAGTGGCCTGCGACGAACTTTGGTTGAGGTCCTGAACGGCGTTAAACATAGAGATGAACGAGGTATTAACGCCCGATCTTCAATGTTTCAGTCCCTCCTGTCCGTTGATTATTGCTAGGACTTCTTTGATGGCAGATATAACTATAGGGCTGTGGGATTTCTGGGCTGCTGTCTCCAAAAACTCAGCCTTGAGGAACAAATCCTTCCAATTTTTATCATGCCTAGCGAGCTTCATTCTGAAGTCGTTGGCGATTGACATCACGTTTTGAACGTGATCAATATTGCCATTGTCCTGCTCTTTGTGTAAGACCGCATCTTTCTGTACCGGTGTGGGCCTTGCAGTAATGTCAGCGGGCTGTCTGCCGCTGGGGTGAGCCTGCGCAACACACACCCACCAGTCGTGGTACCAGTCCCATGGCTGGCTCCGGAAGCCTGGCTCTCCACATCCAAGATTTTTGTGCTTGATGGCGATAACGACTCTTGGGGCGAGCACGATCCCCCAACCGCCGGCTCTAGGGCATCCGATTCCCTTGAAGCAGTACATTTTATTCTTTTGTTAGTACTCATCGTCATTGTTGTTTGTGTTGGCTTGGCCGCTACTGACGGCACCAGCCTCGTGCCGTCTCTCTGGTTTCCTTCCATGCTCCAGATCTTCCGAGACACCGGGGGTCGATCGCTCCCCCGGTGGTGAACTTGTCCGCGACCGGTTATTCGTCCAATCCCGAAGGGTATGGCTTATTTCGCGGCTACCCTGCATATCTGCAGGGCGTTCCTCTATCCGCAACCTGGGGACGCGCCCGGCGGCATGCTCATGCCCCGACCGGGAACCTAACCTTTTTTTTTTTTTTTTTTTTTTTTTCAGTTTAGAATCGTAGACAGGGAGGGAAATATGGTGTCCCATTGCTGCCTCCCTGCCTACATCCTTTATTGGCAAAAAAAAATAAAAAAAAACAATATACAATAAACAATAAATAACAATAAAATATTACAAATTTTGGGGGCCTCTAACCGCCCTTGATTTGGCCTTCAGCCTACATTATTGTAACTTAACTAGGTGTGGGTGTTTTGTTTTGACTAGCCATTCTGCTGCCTTTCTCTCTCCAGACCCTGCTTCCTCTCCATTATGGCTTCTATCATGCCGGTGAAGCTTATTGACAGGGTAAGGGCCTTTTCTAGTATGGCTTTCTTTACCCTTCCTTCGTTCGGTAGGTCCACTTCTCGAGGTCCACATAACAAATCCTGGACATCTGATGGCCGGGGTTGCCTTCCTAGTATCCGCACTAGCTCCGCTCTTTCCGATTCCCAATATGCGCAATCAAATATTGTGTGTTCGGCGTCGTCCATCTCAGCATCATAGTGTACGCACAGTGGCTGCTGGGCTCTCTGCTTTGAGTGTAGGTACTTCTGAAAGCAGCCATGGTTGGTAAGGGCCTGCGTCATGTTGAAAGTCAACTACTTCGGTCCATAATGCCACCATCTGTATCAGCCTTTTAGTCCATGCCCCCTTAGACGTGGAGTCCCAGTGCACCTGCCATTGTCTTATGGTCTCTTCACGTGCAGCCGACTTGGATAAGTGCACGCCCATCTTCCTGGACTCGCCAACTCGCTTCCTCTCCAGTGCCAGGAGGAAGGCGGGGGGCATTCTCGCAAGTACTTGTGCTGCCACGTCCGACACCGTGCGGTAGCACCTGGCTACTCTCAGGGCGGCTGTCCTCTGAGCCATTGACAATGATTCTCTCGCTTTCGCCACGCCTTGAACTCTGTCGGCCCATACTTGGGCGCCGTACAGCAGTCTGGAGTGCACAACGCTCATTAACAGACTGCGTTTCGACTGGGAGGGTCCACGCACGTTCGGCATCAGCCTTCCGATCGCGGCCGCCGCTCTTCTGGCCCCCGCAGCGACTGTGGTGACGTGCTCCACGAAAGACAGTCTGGTATCCAGCTGCACTCCGAGATATCTGATGGCTCTTTTCGTTGGCACTTGGAAGCCCTCTATGTGCAGCTGTGGCAGTGAGTATGCGTGCTTGCTTGTGAGCACGACGCACTCGGACTTCTCAGGAGCAAGTCTCAACCCGTTTTCTCTCATCCAAGTGGCGATGTCCGAGAGGATTGGATCAACGAGTTGCTCCAGAAGAACAGCGTTATGAGCTACAGCTACTACCGCTATATCATCGGCAAAAGCGATCAGTTTTGCGTCTCCTCGAACGGGCAAGCGTAGGACGCCATCGTAGAAAATATTCCACAAAGTCGGCCCGAGGACCGATCCTTGTGGAACGCCGCAGGTGACTGCAAGGTTTGTCCTTCCGCGGTGACGTCCCCACCGATCAGGAGCTTACGATCGGACATGTAGGACCTTAGTATCTTTATGCAGCCTTCAAAGCTTCCTCGATGGCGTCAGTGGTTGACCTACAGCGTCTAAATCCAAACTGGCGGCTACTCAGAACCCAACTCCTTCTATGTGAGCTTCGAGACGATTCAGCAAAATTCGCTCTAGTAATTTGCCACTGCCATCGAGTAAGCTTATCGGTCGGTAGCTGGATGGTTGGTCCGGTGGTTTTTCAACACCTTTGTGTAGCAAGATCAGTTTGGCGCTTTTCCATCTGCAAGGGAACTGGCCGTCAATCAGGCATGCGTTAAACGTCTCTAGAAACACTTCGGGGCTACGTTTCACCGCCAGTTTGATCGCCTCGTTGGGAATAAAGTCGGGACCCGGGGCCTTACCTGATGGCAATTTCCTAGCAGCTGACAACAGTTCGTCTACCGTGATCAGCGGTATCAGGTCTTCCGGCTGTTCGAGGATCACCGTGGAGACGCTGGGCTCCAGAGGAACTGACTCCCAGTCGACTGTTGGTAGTGCGGGGAACAGTACTCTCGCGATGTTTGTAAGCGTCGGTTCTTCGATGACGGGAAGCCGGCGCCCCAGCCGTTTGGTCACCAGCCTGTACGGCACTCTCCACGGGTCACTATCGACGGAGTCGCACAGCTCTCGCAACGATCTCTCTTGCGCCTTTCTTATGGCGATCCTTAGCACCTTCCTTGCCTGGTTGTACATTTGGAACCTCTCTTCACGGCCTTCTGTGTTGGATCTGCGCCCCGCACGCTGGTAGCTCCTGCGGGCAACAATAGCGATCCTCCGCAGTTCGGCTATTTCTTCGCTCCACCAGTGTACTGCTCTTTTGCCTCTTACCATAGATCTTGCCGGTATCGCTGCGTCGCAGGCCTGCGTCAGGAATTCTTGGAGACGCTCCACGTGCTCCTCCGCAGAAGCGTTCCGCGGATGGCATGGGGTGCACCCACGCGATCCCAGTGCTCCTTTATGGCAGCTGGAGACAGTTGCTTGACCGACCATCCGCCCGGCCGAGCTACTTCCGTTGGACGTCTACGCGGCTCGTTTTTGAACACCGAGTACGCAATATACTATTGGTCACTGCCAGAGTATCGTTGTTCTAGGACGGACCAATCGTGCACCAGTAACCGGTTGTCCGCAGATCGTGCAAAGGTTACATCTATTACGGACGTGGCGTTGACCCGCCTGAACGTCGGGACGGTACCCACGTTGCACGCCGTAAGATCGAGCGCCGAGGCAAAGTCAGACAGCAGGGATCCTCTGACGTCCTCTGTCGAGGAGCCCCATTCTGCGGAGTGCGAGTTGAAGTCCCCCGCAACAATGACGTCGATCCCCGCGCTGGTTTGACTTCGGACCGATGCCTCTAGACCGCCGAGAAACCTGTCGAATTCTTGCGTCGTACAGTTCGGAGTGCAGTAGCAACTATAGAATAGTTTGCCACCCACCCTCGCACGAGCAAAGCCCACTCCAGAGCCTTGGTCCGATACGGTGGCTGTTGATCTGCCCGTAACATACAAACCGCACTTGTTGTCGGAGCTTGCAACCCACAGCGGTGCCTGCCCTAGCGGACGGTTGTAGTCACTCACGATGACGACGTCGATGTCGAGTTCGGCAACCGTTTGCAGGAGGAGCTGTTGCGCCGTCCAACAGTGATTATGGTTCACCTGCAGGACCGTAATCACTGGTCCTCGGTCTATCGTTAGAGGCATGACTGGGATGCTGGTGGCTTGGCCGGCGCCTCGATGCGCTGGCCTCGGTCCGGCTCCCCAGACTTCTCACCCTGGTGAGAAAGCATGCAGGTTGCAATAAGGTTGCGTGGCCAGGGGCAGAGCATTTGGCACAACCTTGCCTAGGTGCCAGCTCTTTAATCCGGCACATAGCCCAGCCCACCCTCAACTTCTTGAGGCGTGCCAACTTGAGCCCTCGTGAGACCGGGACACTCACGATGGCTGTTCTCACTCCGTTCTGACCCTCACGTATCTTGATGTCATTCAGTGCCTTCAGCTCTGGATCATGTGCCTCCAATGTGCTATTTAGCTCGGCTTCGTCCACTGAGTCCTCGATGCCAATGAGTATCAGAGCAACACTCGGATTGGGGCGCCTGATGCCCCTGTAGTCGCCGAGGCGACGCTTAAGGGCGCAGGCCAGATTATCTGCTTGGTCCTTGTCTGACGTCTCCAAGACCAGGTTCCCAGATTTGGCTCTCCTGGCTGATATCTCAAATGTGATGGCCTCCTCCTGGACTGTCTCCTTTACCTCTTTAACGATATCAGCGTAGGACTTATCCGCCGGTTTCTCCAGCACCACCGCCTGCGTTCTGGGAGCCCGTTTGCGCCCCCTTGCGTTTGTCTTCGCAAGTTGAGCTGCGTCGGGGACTGCTGGTTTCACCCTCCTGGCTTTGCGAGAGACCACGGTGAAGCCGTCCGTTGGATCTGCAGGGGTATCTTCCTCGATTTGGGCGTCGCACTGCTGCTGCTGCTGCTGTTGCTGTTGGGCCTGCGTCCGTTATTGTTGCTGCTTCCGCTGTTGTTTCGGCTGCTGCTCAGACTGCCCGCTCTGCTGCCACTTCTCCCGAGTTGCTTTTTCTATCCCTGGTAGGGTTTTCCGCAAGGGCGCGGCTTCCCACCAGCATGGTGTGTCCGTCGCTGCATCTCTTGTGACGGGTCTTGCCCCACTGGGTGCATCCGTTGGTGCGCCCTGTTGTGGCTTTAGCGCTGTCGTTTGCGACTCCGAGTCGGTACAAGTTGCAGCACTTGTCTGTGTTGCAACACTATTGCAGTACCCTATGGCTGTTGATTTACTCCGCACAGGGTCACCCTTAAGGATCCTCTGAGACAGTTTGTTGAAAGCCTTGTGGACGTCGTCTCTGCTCCCCTTGATGGCGCCGATCGCGTCTAGCACCTCTTCGATAGATTTCTTAACATCGGGGCTTCTCGCCTTGGCTGACCACGTCTCCAATGCCGTTGCCTTCTGGATAAGCAGTTTGTAGCCACCATCCTGCGTGACTAGGCACTTCCGGAGGAGGCTTGTCGAGTCACTCAGTGTCTCAGCACTAGTAGTGGAGTTCGCGTTGACTTCCGCTTCGTCTTTTGGAGAGGCAGCTTGGCGAAGTCTCTCCGTGATCGACGTCTTCGCTTCCTCCGCTTTCTCCGGGATTTTTCCGATTCGTTCCTTTGCTCCATGTGATTTGCCAGTTTCCTTCTCCTTTTTGGCACATAGTTGGGCACCTACGTTGATGCCCACCGACGCCTGTGCAGGAACGCCGGTGGTCTTGGGATCGGCATTCGACCCTACTGACCTCCCTTGCAGAGTCAGCAGAGTAGCCTCCTGGAGGGAATCCGAACCCCCTGGAGAAGTACCTTTGTCTTCATGTTTGAAACTCATCATCGTGTTTAGAGGTGGCTTGTCTTCCACCGACGGCGCCAGCCTCGCGCCGTCTGTCTTGTTTCCTGTTGTTGCCGTGATCTTGCTGGACACCGGGGGCCTATCTTTTCCCCCGGTGGTGGGCTTGTCCGCGACCGCTTATTCGTCCAATCCCGAAGGGTATGGCTTATTTCGCGGCTATCCTGCATATCTGCAGGACTTTCCCCTATCCACAACCTGGGGACGCGCCCGGTGGCATGCCCATGCCCCGACCGGGAACCTAACCTAACCTAACCTAACCTTTTTTTTTTTTTTTTGTGTTTGAATCACGGCGCTACAGGAGGGTACTTCACCCGTTAGGGCCGTCCTTCCTCCTGTATCCGTATCATTTATTAAAAAAAAATGCACACAATTAATAATAACATCGTTAAAATATCGTTTAAGAGCATTCGCTCGACAAAAAAAAAGAGAGGGCCCTACCCCTCTAAAAAATCGACTTCGGCGCACAGTTTAACTAACTTAACTAATTTCAGTTACGATCTGATTTCGTTGCCGCTCTCTTTCCTCTTTTTCCCTGGAGGACTGTACTTGGTTTACGAAGTCCCTTACCGCAACCCAGTTTCTTCTACTCGTCAGCATGCATTGAATTATGTTTTCCGGTGACGCCTCTTCCTCTATCTCCACCTCCAGGGCTTGTCTCTGCCTCCACCACCTGTCGCATTTGAAAAACACGTGCTCCGCGTCATCTACGGGGTCTTGGCAATCCACACATGACGAGGTTTCGATCTTCCCGAACCGTTGGAGGTATTGTCCGAAACATCCATGGTTCGACAAGAACTGGGTTAAGTGGAAGTCCACCACTCCGTGCTTCCTATTCCTCCATGCGTTGACGTCTTTGATTAGTCTCTGCGTCCATCTTCCATTTTCTCCGCTTGTCCATTCACTCTGCCATTTCTCCATTACTGCTGCTCGGGTTTCTGTTGACACGCGTCTCCTGTCCGGTTCGTGCCTGCGCCTGTACCTCTCCGTCCTCTCCCATGCTAGCAGGTGGTCCGGTATCAGTCCCGCTATCACCAATACCGCAGCCGTCGATACTGTGCGATACGCCATTACGACCCTTCAGGCAATCGCCCTCAGAGGCCTTTCCAGGGTTTCTTCATTACCTTTAAATACCATTGCCTCAGCCCAAATTGGCGAAGCGTATAGGAGCTTGCTCGTCACCACCGTGGAAAGTAAGGCCCTATTCCTCTGCCCTGATCCTCCAATGTTTGGCATAAGTCTTGATAAGGCAGTTGCCGTTGCCTGTGCTTTGCCCGCCGCCGCCTTCACGTGCGCCTTGAAACCAAGCA